CTGACTGGGGTCACTGAGCCTAAGCAGGCAGTATTTTAAAGGCTCAAAACATTGTGCTTGGTGTGGAGGGTGGAGAAGGTGGAGCTGTGTCTGGGGCCAGGAGAGAGCAGCTGGGAAACCGTGGGAGATGGCCAAGTGGGAAACCCTAATGACACGCTTTGCCTGTGTACTTCCACTTCTAGCTTTAACTCCTTTGTTTTTAAACATTTAATCCTGCTGGGGAGTGCCTGCATGTTCCTTTATCTTTAGTGGGTTCATAAGCCCATTTGCCTGGAGAAACCTCTGCCTATGTTAGAGTTGGGTAGGCTTGCAGCTAAGCCATGCATGGGTTTTGTGTGTGCTAATGGGAAGAGGCATGTAACCTCATTGAAGCTGCCTCCCTTGGAGGCTGGTGGGTGTCCTGTAGGAGTCACAGCTGGAGATGAGAGTGCCAGACACTGTCCTGGGGGGAGGGCATGAGCTGGGATGTCCAAGGGATATCTGTCTCAAAAATGTGGACCAATGCACATGGGGTTGTGCCTGGAAGAAAGCAGTAAAGAGGAACATACCCCATTTTCTTTAGCAGTGGTAGGTTTGCTGGGCTCTCAGATCTTCAGGGAGCTGAGCTTTTCCCACCTAGTAGGGGTTGAGTATGGGATTTGGATGCACTGAAATGTATGTCAGCTTTAGCAGTTGTGTGCCTGCTTCTGGTGCAGGATGCCATGGGAAGGGTGAGAAGACAGGATTCTTTGGTGCCATCCACCTTCATCTGCACCTAAAAGGGAGAACTTCTGAGAGAGATACAGGTGTCACTTGCAAGCTGTATCTATCTTGCATGTTTCAGCTGCACTGATGCTTGGAGATGGAACATAGGATAAATAGGCACAGTGGGCCCAGGGCAAGTTTTGTCCCATATGGAGTTGAATCTAAAGACCATAGTGGGGCATCTTGGTGAGGAACAGACATGATGGTAAGCTCTTTTCCAGTCTGTCATAACTACAGAGTAACTGTCTTCTCTAAAACTTACAGACAAGTATCTAAAAGATCTGAATCTGACATCTTAAAGTTTTTAAAAGCCAGAAAGCATCTCCTTTCATGGGAAAGGAAATTTGAGACTCAATCACTTGGCTTTAAAAGGTCCCAGGCTGGTGGTTCAGGCAGGGGAAATGCTGGCCCTTGTTTGCCATGGTTCCCAAACAGCTAATGCAGCCTCCTCTCTCCTTTTTACACCTTGCCCAGACCTGAAGGGGTTACGTTTTAAAATGAATAATGACTAAATTTATTCGTCATGGACAAATGATGACAGCTGTTGAGATGCTCCTGTTAGCGCTTCCCAGGGGATAAAGTCAGGCTGGTTTCTAGCACAAGCCAGCCGAGCCAGGCAGACTCAGCTCGTATTCAGCCCGGATTATTTGTCCCGGGTTCCCCTCGCTAGTAGGGAATTTCCTTCCTAGAAGTGAACTGAAGTTTCCTGGGCTGAAATGGGTGTTGATGAGAATCCGGCAGAGCTGCAGTTGTAGAGAGAGGACAGAGGCCATGGCTGTTTAAATCCACGTGTGAAGACAGCATGCTTAATGAGTCCGAGGGGCAATGATTGATTCCGTTCCGGACTGAAAGCCACGGCGCTCTGTGCAGCACTCTTACATCTGGGCACGCTATGGAAAATATGAAGGAATGTTGAGGAAGCTTATTTGCAGAAGGATATGTACTTGTAAGCAATTCTTTTTTCTTCTTAAATAGTGTAAATGAATTGAAAAATGTAAAGCAGATTGGCTTCTCTCTTTCTCCGAGGTAGCAGAGTGGTGAGCAGACAAAGGCCTCTTTTACAAGGGCATGTCTCTGGCAGAGAGTACTATATGGTCCTTATAAATGAGCACAGGGGTGTCTTGGGATGGGAGAGCATCAGTGGTTATTTCGTGTGAGAATGGGGCACCGATTCCGCTTCAGTGCACCTCAGCTGGTGCCCAAAGAGTTACACCCATCCTGAATTTACCTTTTGCAGATACTCTGGCAAAAATGTGATCCTAGTTCAAATGATTAGTATTGTGAGGAGGAATCAAGGAGTGGCAAAAAAAAAAGGCTTTTTAACAATAATGTATAGTAGCTTGGTTTTGTGTTCTTTCTGTACTCCCGTGTTGAGGTTTCTTTCTGCTCTTTGTTTCTCTTTCTGTCCTGCACACGTGCTGCTGGCAGACTTGATGTGCAGTTCTGAATGTGGCGCTGTCATTCTGCACTGCTCGGCTGAGAAAATGCTGTTGGATTATTGAAGGGATATTCTGGGTTGATAAATATGTAATGCTTAGTTTGTAGACTTAATGAACAGGAGGATGTGATAGTAATCCAGACATCCCCAGAACTGTGGGCGGGCTGGTTGGATTTTTGGACTGTTGTATTTTTGCTAATGCTCAGAAAATCTTGTTTCAGATGAAAATGATAGTCTTTTTCATTGGTAAAATGCTGCAGGAGTGTGATGCTTTTAATATCTGGATTTTAATTTATTTTTTTATTTAATATATGAAATAGCAAGCCACACCCTCTTCTCCTTACAGAGGGGATAGGCTTTAAAAATGCAGATAGAAGAGGAAGCGAGTTAACTAAGGCTGCATCTAGGTAGCCTGAAATGCAGCTCATGGAGAATTTTATTGCCCGGTAAAAGTGTTTATGAGGAAGTAAATAATCTTTTGTTTTGAATATGACTGACTTTATCTGGCAATGCATATATGGCAAATAATAATTTGCTTAGTATCTATATAGGAGCTTTTGAAATAAGTGCAATTGGGACAAGTTTTGCTTAGAAGTTTTTGGATTTAGCAGCTGTGCAAGTCTTTCTGAATCACTTAAACCCCTTCCTAGAGGCTTCAGAGGTGACATGTTTTGAAGTCTATTTTGATCTGCCCTGACCTTCCATGCAGCTCTCACCAAATAATGTTTTTGAAATAATTCCTGTTTGAACTAGATTGTGTCTTCATGGGAGGAAAAAAATGCAGTTTTGCTTTTAAGAACTGCCTGTGGTAGAATTCACTGTGTGACACACTTTCTAACCTCACAGAGGGTCAGTCCTGTGATTACTGCAAAAAATGGAGGGGGGGG